GGCCGCGGGCTCTGCACCAACGCCAGCGCCGCCGGCCGCCTGCGTGCCTACTTGCTGCCCGCGCCATCCGCGCCAGGTGAGCCGCCCGCGCCAGGTGCGCTGCCGCAGCATCCCGGGCCCGGCGCCCCATCGCCAAGGCCGGGGGTGGGATGGTGCGGCTGCGGAAACTCCGCTGCTCTTCCCCCCGCAAGGGTTTTACGTGGGGAAACTGAGGCCCCGCGAGGCGAGGGTGCTTGCCCGAGGGACCCTCTGCAGCCGGCCGTATACTAGCTCCGCTCTCTGAGTGCAGAGTGCTTGTAAATTGCACAGCGCTTTTGGTGAAAATGGGTCAAAGATTTCATGGGGAGGGAGGGAGCGGGTTCCACTATTAGCGCAGCCAATGGAAATATCCAGGACAGAGATTCTCCGGCCTGTGCGCCCGCGTAGCGCGGGAACGTGGGCGTGGACTGTGCGGCCCAACCCTGGAACGCGGTCTGTTTCCCACGAACTGGGAGCGAGCGTGCTTGTGCCGAGGATGCTGTGGGGGCCGAGGGCGCAGGGAGGCGACTGGGGAAGGTGGGCAGGCACGTTGTAGGAAATTGTACCTGTCTTTAAAAATACTAACATTTGCACAGACTTACGGTTTGCAAAGCACTGTCACCTCCCGGAGTGTCCAAAACCAGCGAGGTGGGAATCTGGTAATGGTATCGTTTTCCGTTGGACAAACTGACGTTCAGAAAGAAGTGACTCACCAGGGTCCCCCAGAGGCAGGGAGGATAGTGAGGGCTGAACTGCCTATGCCGCTTACTGGATCGTTCCCCTTGTGCACCCCACCCGCCCTGGTACCTGTGTGGCCCTCAGACAAACCCCAGGTGCGGAGGCTGCCGGGAGTGTGGACGCACGGACGTCAGTGTCAGCGAAGAGAGTTGGAATAAACTCCGGGACTATGTGCCATCTCAGTCAGAAGTGGAAGGAATGCGGTCCAGTTCACAGGAGCCCTGAGGACAAAAAATTCCTAGTGTTTGGCAGAGTTGCTCCGCTGTCTCTGCCACTACCAGGCCCGCGACTCTGTGAAGGACATCACATCCTTCCCTTAGGAAAGAAGTCTAAATGCTGTTGGCAGCTGTTCCTCTAAATTTCAAGCAGGCTTTGCCAGCCTCGCTTAGTTATGAATGAAGTTCCCACATAGCTGAAGGCTAGGAGAATTCTGCCTCCACCTCCCGCCACCAGCTGGACAGAGCGCAGTGGGCAAGCTCCCATCTAGGACCAGCAGAGGGAAGTCCCCTTGTAATTTTCACACCTGCAGATTTCCACTCCCCGGTGGGGCTGTTTCCTTGCTAGGCAGGGATGGCTCTATTTATTCCAGAGAAACACCACTCCAGGATTGGTGGAAAGGCAAAATTCCAATTGCCTAAAACATACACTGTTTTATACTAGTAGACAGGCTTAAAATCCTTAGACCCAGGGCAAAGTTATGTCATTTGCTGTGTATGTACTTTATGGTTCTAGGGCATTTTTTTGGACATTCAAAAAGTGATCTTAGAAGTTCTTATAAACATTGTCTCTTTTAGTTAGACTATAACACACATTATGATTACTACTGTTACGAGTAGCTCCATAGTGTAGGTTGATGTGGCTTATTATAAGATTATGAAAAGATCTAAGTGACCTCTAAAATCCACTTAGGAGGAGGGATAGGTAAATTTAAATGACAGTCAAAAGTCAAAATTATCTGTTGCTTAAATGGAAAGGTTTTCCCTTCATCTCTAAGTCAGCAGGCATTAGAAACAAACCAAGGAAGTTTAAGAAATTACTCAGAGTTCTTGGAAAAGAAATGCAAATATGTGTATTTACATATTCTTAGCATCTCCTTTGCCCCAGTACTTCCCTGAAACAGAAAAGAAAACACTAAGGTGAAAGGAAATTGAAACCAAATCCTACCAATTAATATCTTAGTCCAGCAGGCTCTGGGCTAGAGGAATTTGTGCTTCCCCAGACACCGGACCCCTTGAGAACTTTGCAACTCCTCCTTGCCATGGGACTGTTTTCTGAGTGAGGAACTCGAGACCCAGAGAGGAGAGGGGCTTCCCCAAACACCCCCGTGAGTGCACCTGCCCTCGGGCCTCCAGGAGAGAGTGGAGCATCTGCAACAGAAGCTTTGCGTCCTTCAGCAGCGCTTAGCCCGCCGGGGGCATTCTCCGAGCTAGGCTCTTGCTCCTTGGCGGAGTCCAGAGCCGGAGGCCTTGGCTGGCTTCCAGGCAGGTGGGCGGGCTGCCACTGTGACAGGCGTGTTCCCAGGAGTCTTCAGCTGGAGCAGGGCACTTGGCATCCCAGGCATAGTAGATTCAGGACCAGATGGCGAAAGGAGCCCCTCCTGGGAGGGAGGCATCAGGGCGTGGCTTGTCAAGTGAAATGATCGCATGACAGTTACCTGGCTGCATAGAGTCAGGCAAGAGGAAGGGGAACAGAGAGAGCATTCTAGGTATACATCAGCCACACATTTAGTCAGTATACTTGAAATCTCAGGGACATTGTGGACATTCCCACGTCAATGTCAAGTCTGTGTCTATTAGCATGTTGATTCCCCAGAGGGATCCACAGGAGGTGCTTCCTTTTCAGGGAGTGAAAGTTCTTTGGCACTGAGGAATGTAAGCCTTGAGCAGAGCTTTGGTGATGTCAGGGTCCTGTTTGCTCCTGTGCAAATGGGATGAAGGGCCTCCCCAGGAAAGTGCCCCAGGATGTGCAGGGTCTGTGCAGCTCTTCTGGGCGTCCCAGACCCTGAGTGGGCATTGAGTGTTAGAGATGTAACGGCAGGACCTATAAAGCACCACCAGACATGCCTGCGTGAGTCTGGGGACATGCGGCAAAGGCGCTTTGTGGAGAGGAATTCAGTTTCCCTGTCTGAGCCGGCAGAGATCCCCTGGAGCCTTTTGCCTGGTAGCGCTTAGGCCAGTGCTGGTTAAACCTGAGTGAGCGTCGGAACCCCTCCAGGGCTTGTTGACACCCAGATTGCTGCCATCGTCCCCCAGCAGGGCCGGGAGTAGCGGAGAAGGTGTGTATCCACCGAGTCGCACACGTGGGAGGCCCGCATTGGAGCAGCCCTGAGCGTATCTGAATCGCCAGCAGAGCCTTCCCTGGCTCGGGTCTGACCCCTGCTGGTGGAGCATGAGAGACACTTGAAAGCTGAGAGGTGAAAAGCGTGTCCTTCAGCTGCTCCTGCTTCCTAAAAGCACATGTCGTGTTTCACTCCTAAAAGGTGGCTGCTTCTGCTAATGTTACGGAACGATACGTTATCAAGGTGTTTTTTTAAACATATTTGGAATTGTTGAATAACATTTCTGCTTAGATGTGACTTGGTCGCAGTATTAAGATTTTGAGAAGAATGTTGTTAAATGTCCACAACCATCTTTGTGTCTCTTATGCTTTTCAAGGAAACAGCAGTGAGTCGGAGGAGGACCACCACAGTGCCGGGAGTATGGACAACCAGGCCCTCCCCAGCACACACCGAGTGCCAGACCCCAAATTCCACACCCTCCACACCAAGATGGACGTCATCAAGAAAGGCCATGCCAAGGACAGCCAGCGCTACAAGGTGGACTACGAGTCCCAGAGCACAGACACCCAGAACTTCTCCTCCGAGTCCAAGCGGGAGACAGAATATGTAAGAGCTTTTCCTCCTGGGGAGGAGGGGGCAGGGGAGGGACGCCAGAGTCACTCTTTACTCGAGAGCCCCGTCGGTAAATCCCAGTGGTCCAGCTGATGCCATGGGCAGCTTCGAGCCCCTCCTTAAGTAAAGGATGGGACCCTTCCCGATCTCGGAGATCTCCCGAGGTCGAGGAGAAATAACATCCATAAAAGCGCATCGCGTGCTCTCCAGGCCTCTGTGGTACAGAGAAATGTGCTCCCGAGGCCGCTTTATTTCGTTCCCTTGGTCTCTGTGTGTCCTGGCCTGTGGGGACTCTGTCCTCGCCTCTGTGCCTTGTTCTGGGGATTTCACGAGGAAGACAGGAGCCGCAGTCGGCGTCCTTCTAGGAATGTCGACAACTAACTCAGGCAAAAGACATTTGAGGAGCACATTGCAGGTCCACTCGGGGGGGCTCGATGGGCGCCCGGGATTTTCTGAGGTAGTGCGAGCTCCCGAGTAACACGGCCTCCTCCCCAGGGGCCCTGCCGCCGGGAAATGGAGGACACGCTGAACCACCTCAAGTTCCTGAACATGCTCAGCCCCAGGGGCGTCCACATCCCCAACTGCGACAAGAAGGGCTTCTACAAGAAGAAGCAGGTAAGCGGTGTCCTCGCGTGTTTCCTTTCTCTCCCTCTGTCCCCAGTGCAGAGGAGAGGCTTGCTTTGCCAACCCCCAGCGCTGGCCGCAGCCCTAGCTCCTGGCCCATGACAGCACCAGAGACCGACCCAAGGCTGCTTTCTCTAAAACCCGAAACCCTGGGTGTCTCCCTCCCGACCCACAGAGCAAAGCAGTGCCACCCAGGAGCCCTTTGTGAACCATAAAGGGACGCAGACACACCGGCACTTGCATTGCACTGACATTTTGAATAACTATTGTAGAGAATTTCCAAGAAGGCTGACGTGAGGTCACAGGACCAGAAGCTTACCCTGAGGTCCCGTGTTGGTCCCTTGCACACTCGTGCCTTCCAGAGAACGACAGGCTATAAAAGATCAAACTTGTTGGAGAGGTGGTTATTTTAAGCCACAATAAATGCGCCTCCTTGGATTACGAGTATGTTATGGCAGCATTTCAGTCAGCTTCCCAACTGGACAGTTCCTACCATGGCATCTGCAGGATTAGCCACAAAACAGTGTGGCCTCCTCCAGAGTGTTCCTGGTGGTGGCCTTGGTCAGAGGGCCCATCTCCCTCAGTGGCCACTAGTCTCCTTGGCCTCCTCTCATGCCTGTCTTCCACCAGTCACTATTCAGCAGGCGATCATTCTAGTCAGGTCTTCTGTTCGTGTGGTTCTTTCCGTCGCTTATTCAGCAAGCGTGCACTGAGAAGTTACCATGTGTGCGGCCTGGGCGTGCTCTGAAAGACACAGACGTGACACGAGCAGGGCACGAGGGACGTTCTCATTCCCTCGTTCAGCAGATAGGCCTGCGGGGCAGAAGGTCCAGGGTCTTCTGAGACCCTGAAGGACACAGACCTGCCCTGCCTGCTGCTTTTCTAGAGAATCCCACCCGCACAAAGAGCATGCCGCCACGCTGTGCACACGGGGCTCTGCCTGGCCTCTCCGTGGTGCCTCTCAGCATAGCAGAGGCCGTGCTGGGAGACCACCCTGGGCCCTGACAGCGTGCTCCGCCTTTGGCCCTGGGCACCTGCCCCTGTCATCAGGACCCCCACAGTGGGGGCCTCCCGGGGTTCACTATCGCACCATCTTCTGTGCTCTGCCCACAGTGCCGTCCTTCCAAAGGCCGGAAGCGGGGCTTCTGCTGGTGTGTGGACAAGTACGGGCAGCCCCTCCCGGGCTACGACGCCAAGGGCAAAGGCGACGTGCAGTGCTACAGCATGGAGAGCAAGTAGACCCGCGGCCACGTAAGCCCTGGGACCTGAGTGGCTCAAGGGGCCACAGCCTCCTGGCCCTGGGCCTCTGCCTCCCAGAAGGGCTGGGGTGGGAGGGAGGGTCTGCAGGCTGCGGGCTGCCCCGGGGCTGGTGACTCAGGGGCTGCAGCTAGAGGACAGATATATAGGACAGACCCCTCAGGAAGGTGCAAGGAGGCCCCCCAACCCAGCTGAACAACTCAGGGAAAGAGGGTCTGTGGCCAGGTGGCCTCAAAGATGCTTCCCTTCATTTTAAAGAACTTAGAACCTGTAAATATTCACACACATATAATGTGAGATTTTCAGAGTTCAGCTTTGATGGTTCATTTATCTTCACAGGTAAACTGTTTTAATCCGAAAGAACTTGTTAAAGGAACGTGTTTCTAAAGGGTGTGGCTATTTGTTTTTCTGTAAAATATATTCTGGCTGTTCTGATAGTCTTTGATTAATATAATTTTAATAAAGTTTATTTAAATCTAATACAAAAATGAAATTTTAAACTATCATTTTGAAGAATGCTATCACATTCAATATTTTCTTTCTTTTAATATATGAGAGCGCTAGTGGGGAAAAAAAGAATAAATATGTATTTCCTTTCGTCTACTCAAGACAAGTTTAAGTAAACGGAAGAAATTTTCATTTTTAGTGATAAGTTTTGTTTCCTTGCAAGTTGGAAAAAAATCATTCTAGTTTCAGGGTGACTGTGACAGTGAACCCTGCAAGCCCCTTGCGGTGTTCTTTGCCTTGTTACAAAGTGTAGGGGAGCCCCAGCCGCCGAGTGCCCGGGTGTTGACCTGATCGTCCCAGGCAGGACTTGAACCCTCTCGATTCAAGGGGCAGTTATTTCAATATGTTTCTTTTTCTCTTTGTTTTAGTTCATGTGGAGCTGAAATACGCCTTATTTTGCACAAAAGACTGCCAACGACATGATCAGCAGCTGGCTACAGCCTCGATTTATATTTCTTTTTGTGGTGATCTGACTTTTTTTAAAACCAAAGTTTAGAAAGAGATGTTTGAAATGCCTAGGGTTCTTCTAATGGTGAACTTGAGCATCTTTCTACTTCCCAGTCATCAGTAAAACGCAGTGTGGTTTTTCTTGTTGCTTCCTATAAAAATACTTGTAAACTCAAGCGCAGTGCGGCCGGACCTCACACCGTCTGGGAGCTCCGCCTCTGCTTCGTGCCGCAGCGACTGTGTTGCTTCTGCAGACGAACGCCTCCTCCCCACCCTGTGAAATGAGCACAGGCTTGTCGGGAACAGGACCCCCTGCCCTCTGGTGTCTGACATCCCCACGCACCGCCTGCGGCTTACATCTTTGAAGCAAGGGCCTGGGTCCCTCGACCAAGAAGCTATTTCCTATCTTCAAGTGACCTGTGCTGCTTGGGAACTAGTGGAGAGAATAAGATAGAGTCTTACTTGTAAAAAAACATGACCAAGGATGTTCTAGGGAACTCTGGGAACCTGTGAAGGCAGGTATTTCTGACCCTTCTTTGTCAGCAGCTCCTTGAAGACACAGCCTTTCCTGGTGGCCCCACAGGGCAGGGGGGCAGTGGGACAGCAAAAGGCATCACAAATAATAGCACGATCCTTCAATGACCATAGAAAATAGTGTTTTCCTATTCAACAGTTCATGACCAAGTTGATTTTTGAGGATAAGCTCCTTAAAGCTAAAGGAGGTTTATTTTCATCTCTCACCTCTGTCCTCCTTGGCACAGTGTAAACATAACAATAATAATTTTATCTAACCAGGAAAGATGAATGGCTTGTTGGGGAGCCCAGCGAGGACCCTGGGAGCACACAGAATGCCCGTGCTGGCTGCACTTGGCATCATCCTGCTTTTCTTTCTAACTCACACATATACACAGAGAAAACACGTTCTTCATGACCTGTTAACGTTATATACGTCATCATCCAGATATGCTAGGACCCACACTAGATAATGCTAGATGAGACGTTAGCCATGCTAGAGAACATAACTATGGCCAGGACCGAGGAGAGGAGCCTGTGCAGGGCCGGCTACCCCGGAGGCCAGCCCTTGAGGTTGGCGGGGTTAGCGCCGAGGAGGCCCTGTGCTGCCCGCCCAGCCTCTGGGGTGGACACATGCTATGCACAGCCCTCCTTGAGAACACAAAGGGGTCTCGAGACATTCTGCCTACCTATTAGCTTTTCTTTATTTTTTTAATTAAGTTTTTGGAAAAAAAAGTATTTTTGGAAAGTTTGTCTTGCAATGTATTTATAAATAGTAAATAAAGTTTTTACCATAAAGAAATCCTTTTCCCCTTGTTGGTGACTGGCTCCGGATGGTGGGTTACTAATGACATCATCCAGAGAGTATAGGATGTTCCGGCTGCGGTAGAAGACTTAGACAAATGCCTTTATTTGCTTCTGCCTCCAGCAAGAGAACCCAAGGAGACAGCCTGGAAGCCTCCGCTGGCCCCATGGAGACACTGGGTCTTGTCTGCTGTGAGCCTCCAGGTCCGGGAGGCCGGGGTGTTGACCCCGGTCCTGTCACAGGAGTGGGCAGGTGGGAACAGATCAGCAGACACACCTCATGACTGGCTGTCTTTGCCTTTAGGTTTTGTCCCCCATTGTCCTATCTGTCACCACCCAGGGCAGCCTTCACAACCGAGGGGACCAGGCATGGAACACATGCAGGATGATTTTGTGGCCCTCTCACCCCACCCTCTGTTTGGAGAAGAGAGTGGACCAGGCAGGAGGGGGAGGGAGACTCAGGGAGATGCTGGGGGGTGCAGGTCTGGGGTCTCGGTCCCCTCTCTGCAGCCTTGGGACAATTGCCCCTTGTCACAGAGCCACTTCAGGCAAAGTTCTGAGCCTGTTACTTCCAGGCATCGAAGGATAAACTGCATGTCAGGGAATCAGCTGTTTAGAGCCATAACTGACCCATTAATAATACATCTAAGATGGGTTCCTCATCACAGAGTTGTGTGTGCTGAGCGGTGAGCTCGGTAAGTGTTCCAAGAACTGGGGTGTAGGGTTGGTCATCGAGAGAGCACATCGGAAGCCAGGAAAAGGAGAGGGCAGGTTCTGGGGAGTTGGGGTGCCTGCAAAGTCCTGAGGCTGGAGGGACGGAGCTGGCCAGCAGAGCAAGCTCATGGGGACAGCAGGTGCCAACAGGACATGGGGTTCTTGGGGTCAACTATGGGCACTTCAGCAGCTGGCCAGTGTCTGGGAAGCCCAGACAGGAGCTTGGCAAGCCCTTTGCAGCCACTGTGAGCCGTGAGCTACACACAGGATGCCGGCTCTATAAGCCTACAGGACTTGCCTTCATGGAATCACTGAATCACGTGCCCTTTCTTGTCCTCACTCTCCTTAGCCTCCAACTTCTGCCCTGTCCACACCTTTGATCACCTTTCCTTCTAAGTGTTCTCCTATCACGTCTGGTAAACATGTGATGTTGCATCCACCTGGCTCTCCTCTCCCCTGTCGCTCCACCCTCGGCCACCCAGCTAGACACTTGGAGCTCCTCTGCCCTCCCAGGCTCATCCCCAAATACCGTGTGTCCCCAGCCACCATCCCCTAGACACACAGAAATGAGCGAGCAAGGGCGCTCGAGTCACTGGGTCAAGGCCACACAGATGCTGCAGCCACCGCTCACCAGGGTTTGAATAACACATCGACACACTTGACGAATAACAGTCACCGACCTTGACGAGGGTGTGGTGACAATTCTTCCCCCACCCAAGGACATCTGGCAAAGTCTGGAGACATTTTTGGTGTCACAATGGAGGGTGTTACTGGCATCTAGTGGGTGGAGGCCAGGGATCCTGCTAAACTTCCTACAAGGCACAGGACAGCCCCCACCACAAAGAATTATCCCACCCAAAATGTCAATAACGCTGAGACGGAGAAACCCTAATTTAAACAGATGTTAAAATTTGCCAGTTAAAATAAAGATAGGCAGATTCAATTGGTAAAACTCAAGATATATTGTATTACAACTGACAAGGATTGAAAGTAAAATGATGGAAAAAATATAGACAAAATCGATCCAAAACAAAGCTAGAGTAGCGATGAATATCAGACAAGATAGATTTTAAGACAATGTTTTATTACAGAGAGAAAAAGTCTCTACAAGCTAGCAGGAGAGTAAATGAACCATGAATAGTTAGCCATTCTAAACATATGTGCACCTAATAAAATACTGTACCTTTTTTCTGTCATTGTTTTCTACTCTTATTTTTATTACTTCTTCTCTTGTGTGTTTTTAAAATGTCTTTAAACTATTTATTTGAAAATTAACATAATTACCCTCTCTTCATTATTAAACAGACCAAGAAAAAAAAATCAGCAGGGATTTAGAATATCTGGAACTTTGTTTTAAAACTAGCAAACTTAACCCAACAAATATGATCATGTAATAAGATATATCTTGGTTTTTAGCAATTGAATCTGCCTATCTTTTCTTTGAAAAATCTAACAAAATAGGCAAACACCTAGAATGACTACAAAGAACAAAAAGGAAAAGTTGCAACTAATATTATGAATGAGAGAAGGAATATAACAGATAAAGCAGAAAATAAACAGATTATAAGAAAACACTATCAACACTATATATTACCAATTTAGAAATTATAATTTTAAAGAACAAATCAAAAGCCTGAATATTCCTGTAATTGTGATAGCATTTAAAGAAATAGTTTAAAATATTCCCATAAAGAAAACACCAAGTCCAAATGGTTTGACGAGTTCTACCACATGCTTGAAAAACACATTGTCCCATTCAATAAAAACTTTTTAAGAAGGTATAAAAGAGAAGACTACACCTGGATTCATCCTACAAAACTAGTACAACCCCAAAACTTAAACCATACAAAGAAAAAAAACGTACAGGACCATTGTGCTCATCAATGTAAAAATCCCAGGAAAATTGTTAGTAAATTGAGTCCCACAATCCATATAAAAGGTATTCTACCATTACCAACTTGAGTTCATTCCAGGCATAAAAAAAAATTTAATATTAGAAAATCTATAAATATAGTAAATATAATTAATCACATTAGTATATTAAAGAGAAAAAATGGATACAGTAATAGTTTGAAAAATTCAACACAATACAACTGTTAATAAATTAAAAATGTAAGAGAACTTCCATTATCTGATAACATGTAAATATTAAAAAAACAAAAACCTAGCAAGCATCATCCTAAATGGGGAAACATTAGAAGCAGTCTCTTTGAAAACTGAACTAGACAAGGATACCCACTCTCGCCATTTCCAGCCAACATGGTGTGAGAGAACTGAGCTTATAAAATAAGACCAAAAAAAAAATAGAGGCTTAACATTTGGAAAACACTGTCACAATTTACAGATGTCATGACCATTTACATGGAAATCATAAGAGAATCTACAGACAAATTATTATAAATAATAAGAGTATTTAGCAATATGGCTGGATATAACAATATACACAAATGAATTTAATTTCAATACCCTAGCAACACACAATCAAATATAATTTCAAGAAGACTTCATGTAAAATAGTCTCAGAGAATATAAATTTTTAGCAATTTTTAAAAACCCAGAAATAACCTAACTCCCATCAACAGGAACCTGGATGAATAAACGGTGGTGTATTTGCAACAGGGGGTACCCTGTAGAACCCTAAATGAATGAACTGCAGTTGATGCAACCATGCAGGTGATGCGTAGCTCTGTAGCATCAAGTTTAAAAACCAAGTCCCTAATGATTACACACTGTGTGGTACACACATGCTGCCTGGTACACTTCTCATGAAGTTAAAAAAATTACTAAAATAGTCTGAACTAAAACATATTTTTAAAAATAGGTATAGATAAGATAAAACTATATCCAAAGTGAAGCAATGAATGGTTATTGCCAGAATTCTAGTTTTCAAGTTGGATGGTGAGACCACAGATCCCTATTACATTATTAAAAATAGAACAAATAATAAGAGAGTGCCAAGCGAGGACCAAATAATGAGTGTGTGTTATAAACCAGGGATTATGATGAATCTTTGCAATTGATTGGAATGGGTTCAAAAACGAATGGAAGGAGAGAAGCTGGAGCCAGCAAGCAGGTGACTCTTTCCAGAAGTTGATTCTCTGTCCCTTGTATGCCCCAATCTGCCTCCCTCGATCTTCAGCACCTGCAGCCTCCGTGTACCGTCTGCTAGCCTCCTTCATCTTCTCCTTGAATCCATCATAACCACTGCCTCCGGAGTCTTCTTCCACTAGCTCAATTCTAACAGTGTCATTCCAACCAGAAAATATTTTTTAACAGCTTTATCAAGATACAATTTCCATACTATATGATTCATCCATTTAAAGTGTACAATTCAGTGGTTTTTGCGGTAGTCACAAACATGTGTAACCATCATCACAGTCAGTTTTTGAACATTTTCATCACTTCAATAAGAACCCCGGTACCCTTCAGCTATCATCTGCCATCCCCCTCCCCAGCTCTAAGCAACCACTAATTACTTTCTGTCTCTATAAATTTCCCTGTTCCAGACTTCTGTATGAATGGAATCATATAACGTGAGGTCATTTATGACTGGCTTCTTTCAGTGAGCATACTGTTTTCAAGGTCCATCCATATTGTAGCACGTATCAGCACTTCATTCCTCTTTATGGCTAAATAATATCTCATTGTATGGATATACCATATTTTGTGTATCCACTCATCTATTGATGAACATTTGGATTACTTCCACTTTTGGGCTGTTACAAATAATGCTTCTATGAACATTTGTGTGCAAGTTTTTGCATGGACATATATTTTCATTTATCTTGGATCTATACCTAGAAGTAGAATGGCTGGGTCATATGGTAAATCTATGTTTAATCATTTAGGGAACTGCCAGACTGTTTTCCAAAGTGGTTGCCCCACTTTACATTCCCACCAACACTGTATGAGGGTTCCAATTTCTCCACATCCTTGCCCACACTTGTTATTTGACTTGTTTTGATTAAAGTCACCCTACTGAATGTGGAGTGGTATCTCATTGTGGTTTTGATATGCATTTTCCTTGGTGACTGACAACGTTGAGCATCTTTTCATGTGCTTATTGACCATTCGTATGTCTTCTCTGGAGAAATGTCAGTTCACATCCTTTGCCTATTTTTTAATTGGGTTATTTGACTTTATGTTATTGAATTGTAAGAGTTCCTTATACATTCTAGATACCAGTATATTCTCAGATATGTAATTTGGAAATACTTTCTCCCAATCTGTGGGTTGTTTTTTCACTTTCTTGATGGTAGTCTTTGAAGAACATAACTTTTTAATTTTGATAGAGTCTGATTTATCTTTTTTAGTTTTGTTGCTTGTGTTTTTGGTTTGATATCTAAGAATCCTTTGCCAAATCCAAGGTCATGAAATTTACTGCTATGTTTTCTTCTAAGAGTTTCATATTTTTAGCTCTTACATTTAGACCTTTAATTTATTTTGAGTTAATTTTTGTAGGGGTTCAACTTCATTCTTTTGCATGTGACTATCCAGTTGTCTCCGCCCCTTCTGTTGAAAAAACTTTTTTATCTCCATTAAATGGTCTTTCCACTCTCATTGAAAATCAGCGGACCATCAATGTATGGATTTAGGAATAGTCTCTCAATTCTATTCCATTGGTCTCTATGTCTATCCTTGTTCCAGTAACGCATTGTTTGGTTACCATTGCTTTGCAGTAAGTTCTGAAATCAGGCCGTGTGAGTCCTCCTACTTTGTTCTTCTTTTTCAGGATTGTTTTGGCTATTCTGGGCCCCTTGCAATTCCATACGAATTTTAAAATCAGCTTGTCACTTTCTACAAAGAAGTCAGCTGAGATTCTGGAAAGAATTGTGTTTAATCTGTAGGTCAGTTTAGGGTGTATTGCCATGTTTACAATGTCAAGTCTTCTGATCCATGAACATGGTATGTTTGCCATTTTATTTAGATCTTCTTTAATTTCTTTCAACAAGATTTTGCAGTTTTCAGAGTATACATTTTGTACTTCTTTTGTTAAATGTATCACTAAGTATTTAATTTTTTTTGTTGCTATTGTGGGTGAAACCGTCTTCTTAATTTCATTTTTGGACTGTTCATTGCAAGCATATAGAAATACAGTTGGTTTTTATATATTGACCTTGTATCCTGCAGTGTTGTTGTACTCGTTTATTAGTTCTAATAATCTTCTAGTGGATTACCCAGGATTTCCATATAAAAGCTCATGTCATCTTCAGATGGATACAGTTCTACTTCTTCCTTTGTTTGAATACCTTTCATTTCTTTTTCGTGCCTAATTTCCCTGGCTAGAACCTCTAGTACAATGTTGAATAGAAGTGGTAGAAGTAGACACACGTGTCTTGCTTCTGACCTTAGGGGGAATACATACAGACTTTCACCACTAACTATGATGTTAGCTGTGGGGTTTTTCTAGGTACCTTTTGTCAGCTTGACAAAACTGACAAAAATAGAAGGAAAAACAGAAGGAAACTTCTATTCCTAGTCTGTTTAGTTTTTTTTTTAATCCATGCGAGATGTTGGATATTATCAAATGCTTTTTCTGAGTCTATTGAGAGGATCGTGTGATTTTTGTTTTTTGTTCTATTGATATGATTTATTACATTAATCGATTTTATGTTGTTAAAACAAGCTTGCATTCCTGATATAAATCCCACTTGGTCATGGTGAACGACTATTTTACTATGTTGCTGGATTCAGTTTGCTAGCACTTTGTTGAGGATTTTGTGCCCATATTCTTAAGATATTATGATATTGAACACTGAATTCACAGATTGCTCCTGGGGATTTGGCAGGGGTAGGATGCCAGCCATGCAGTGGAGGATGAAGGGGGAGACCCAAGCCCCCCAGGGAGCTGGAGCCCAGACCAGGGAGGAGCCAGGAGGTGTGAGAGGAGAGAGGTGGCCTGGGGTGACAAGAGGCTCCTGCTTTTCCCATGGTCAAGGGTAGGGGGTCATCCAGGAGACAGGGCTGGAGGCAGCCAGGAGGGCCCCGGAGGGATCCGCTGAGATGGACCAGATACCCATCCAGGGAGAGATGCCGAAGGAGCAGTCAGCAGGGCAGGTGGGAATCTGGGGCAGTGTCAGGAAAAGCAAGCAGACGACAGTTTAAGGAAGAAGGAATCCTCGGAGCAGAGAGGACCCTTGTGCTCAGGGCTGAGTCACGCAAACAGAAGAGTCAAGCAGGGAGCTGAGCTGGAGAACTCTACTCAGAGCCCTGGGGAGGATAGGGGCTGAGGGGAGGCAGAAAGGAGAGGGGCAAGGGGGAAATTAAGGAAGTGTTTCTGTCTGCATTTAAGATGGAGGAAACTCGGGCCTATTTACAAGAGGAAGGGAAGGGGCAAGTAGAGAGCCTAGGGCCCAAGGAAATGGGGGTGCCCAGCCCTGCCGGCGGCCCGACTCCACTGGGCAATAGGAGCCCTTGGTGGGCAGGGCAACTGCCAGCAGTGGGGACGAGGAACCTGCAGACTTGAAACACCCAAGATGTGTGAGGAAGGGAGGGTGACGGATGGAGGAGTTTCAGAAACAAAGAAGACGGTATGTTCAATAAATGTCTACAGCAGAAAAAATGTTCCCACGTGGAATATTTATTCTGAATATGTTTACATTGTGCAAGTGTGTTTGACGATATATCCAATGCATATTTTAACATGTAGCAACATCACCACATCTAGCTTTGATTATATAATCAACATTTAACTTTCCCTTGAAATTTACCCCAAACTCAGATCCATGGAATATACAGACTGAATCATTCTTAAGCTTGGCTTAACCATCTTCTGTTAAGCCACTTGAAAAAATCACTGCTACACATTTGATTTTTTTATTTTCTAGGCACTATTTTCCCATGCTCTTTAAAAACAGAAGCATGAACCTTTGAAGAGCTAAAATACAAATATTTACATACAAGGTGATGTGAAGTATTTCATGATATATAAATTAATATAGCACAAGTTACTGTGTAGAAAAAAATAAACTTAGAGTGAATAAATAAACTACAGCTTTATATGTCAAGTAATATGTGGAGTATAAAAAGTAGTTCCTATATATGTATATATATATATACATATACATATATATATATAAAAGTGTGTGTGTATGCTACTGTATAAATATACTATATACTTAAATATTTCATGTGAAGGAATAGATCATATTGCACCTGTTCTCAGTTCTGTATGTTGAAATACTGATGGCATTTGGGGTCTCCTCTGATCTCCACAGACCCTGGGATCTTCTTCCCGCTCCAAGGGTAGACACACCAGCAGAGCCCCACCTCTCCCTCCAGGGACGTCTCGCACTGCAAAGACAAGATGCAAGGTGAAGAACAGCCCACGTGAAGCCGGGGGGCGGTGGAGCTCCATGCCACCCAGCACCACTCGGAGAACATGGGGGAAGGCTGAGAGCCCAGGCCAGGGGCACCACCAACTAGCCATGATTGTGACCAAGGGCAAAATCCAACACCCTCCTGGTTCTCCTCGTAAAATGGAGGCTAAGGTCATGTCCACTGAGATGAGGATGTCTTGTGTGTTACATGGTGTATTGTGTGCACAGATGTCTGCTTCATGGCCCTGATGGTAGAGCTGCTGAGCCTGGAGGGAGCATGTCCCGTGGGTGGCCAACACTGCCTCGTATTCCTCAACAAATTCCTCATCTGCGATAAACCTCTGCCTGGCCCTCAGTTTCCCCCAGTAATATCCACAGAACCTGTGCTTCACTGAGTCCTAAAGGTTCCTCAAAACTAAGTCTTGGTTCCTCTGATCTTATTTATTGTGAGCCGAAAAAAACTAATGTGTTTAATTCTAGAGTTCATTTCCTTTTGTGGGGAGAAAGAAAAGAACAGATGTCCAAATAAATACTTAGCATTCCTAAGGAGATTGTTCCCTCCCTCTTGTGTTACAGAGGAGAAACTGAGATTCAGACTGCGAGGGGCCTGTGAAAGCCCCCCTGTTCAGTCTGGCACAGTGACAGCGTGTCCTCCTCTGGCCATGAGCACTGAGCTGGTCTTCAAGCTACTGGGAGCTATCTGCTCCTAGTCCCAGAGGAGCGGATCTTAATATGATCAGGGATAGGGCTTTATGGAACACGCATGGGACTGGAGCCCCTGTGTGAGGAGTGTGGGGGTTGAGGAGTGTTGCAGGGGTGTGGGCAGCAGCGGCGGGCTCCGTGAAGGCACATACCTGTTTGGGGTGATAGAATCCATGCTTGTTGCAGTTCGGCAGATAAAATTTGTAAAGTTCATCCCCTGCCTTCTGCTGCTCCTTGGCTAATCTGTCCAGCACTTTGTAGAGTTCTCGTTGGCAGGGCTCCTGAAAGAGCAATTTGACGTTGGGATAAATGACAAGAAAAAGTGAATTATCAGCCTGAAGGACAGCTGGTGGAAGACATTCTGTATGGGCTCTGAGGACAGGCCTGATGTGCCCTCTCTGGGCCTCCATCTCTCCCCTGTAAAAGGAGGGTGTGGGTCTCTGTCTTGTGCTGTTGAGACAAAAGATGGGAAGGCCATGCCCTCCCTCACTGAACATTCTCTAAACACCTACAGGAGACAAGAGCTTCCCACCTTCACGAGTTCTCTCCTACTCCTCTTGCCCCCAATTGGTAATTTTGGCACCAGTCACCTGGTTGAAAGGAGAATGGGCACAGCTCTCTGAACTGAGAATTTAGCAGCAGACACGTCTAAATTTTTAACAACTTTCCTCTTTCATCTACAAGGTTATTTCACGTAAGGCAAATCCCGTGAGGAGTAAGGCATTCATCTGGATAATTTGAGATAAGAATACACTTTTCTCCACTTGTCATCATTTCCAGATGAAATTCCGACGTGTCTAGAAAATGGGTCCAACCTCCACTTTCTTGGGTGTGCATGTTTGTGAAGGCGATTTTCTTTCTTTTTTTCACAAATCAGCCCAAGTCACTCCAACTTTGATTCTTTGTCGCCCTCAAGTGGTAGAATTAAAAATGGATGTCAATTAAGATGCTACAGGGAAGTCAGCGTTTAATGGGGACAGAGTTTCAGTCTGGGAAAAGGAAAAAGTTCTGGAGATGGACACTGGTGATGGTTGCAGAATAATGTGAATGTGCTTAAGGCCACAGACCTTTATACTTTAAAATGGTTAAAATAATAAATTTTATGTTATGTATATTTTACCACAATTTTAAAAGAGTGGGGGAGAAGTAATGGGGGAGAGGGTGTAAAGCCTTTGTGCCAAGCTTTAGAATAGTATAGCTCAATGCTCTTTAGACATTGTCTTTATCTTAGAGCTGAGCTCAGAGACGTGAAGTAAGGTATCTAAAGTTGCACAGCAGGAACTGCATTTTCTTTCCATCCAGCAGGCTCCTCTGCTGAAGGCCCTTGTGTTAAAAGCTTGGCAAAGCTAAGCTGAGAAATGCCTATTAGGCTTTAGGATGAAAAGTGTTTATCTCCAGGGCTCAGGACTAGGGAGAAGCCCACCCAGCTCCCGGGCACAGCAGGTGCAAGCTAGAGGCTCCACCTGCCCCAGGGCCTCACCTTCCACTTTTTGATGTCAGAGATCTCACGAGACCTCATGTTCCGGTAATTACTGATGGCGTTCCAGATGATGGGCAGGTCCTCGCTGGATGGGGCCATCAAGTGGAAACTGTCTAGAAGCTGCTCCTGGGTCATCTCTGTGCTCTCAGGGGGCACGCTGTCGGGGGCTGCCGGGCCCTTTGCATCTGAAAAATGAACGCCACAAACCCATGAGCCCTCCCAAAGCGTCTGCACTGTCCCCCTTGAAGCTGTTTCCTTTCCTGCAAATCTGGGCTGGGACATTAGGAAGGTCACCCTGAAGAGTGCTGCCCCAATAGCATTACCAGTTCTGTTCTGGGCAAATAGTAATTTTGGGGTCTGGCAAGGGTGCCCTGTGTTTTTGCTTCTAAAGTAGCAGGGGATGGAAGCCACGTGCACATTTGTCAAGGCCTGGGAAGAGCCCTGAAAAAGCCAGGAATTACGGTTCAGTTCCTCACCCCATTAGTAGGAGCCTTGGAACCTCAGCTTTCCCATCCATAAAATGGGCAGTTTAGTAGTACCCTATGAACAGGTGGTAGGGTTCATTTAGAAGTGGGGTCTAGATGTAGCTCTCCCCTTCTACTCCAGGGGCTCTGCCTTCCCACAGACTGAGTGACTTCTTTGCAACTCCTGGAAGAGGAGGGGGGTGGTCACCAGATATCTTGCAGACAGTCCTAGTGTTTGGATTCGGTGCATGAACAGAATCATAGAGAACTGCCTCTCCTGAGGGACCCTAGGGGAAGCCATCTCCTTTGAGGATCATGGAGATGACTCCATTTCATTGACTCTGAAGGCAGAGAACCCAACAGGAAAACCTCGTCCCCTCCTTGGAAGGGCCACGGGCTCCAGTGCATTCCTCACAGGTTATGGAACCACAAATTTCTCCAGGAATCACAGTGGACACGCAGCTGCCCCGATGGGGAGGTAGAGAGAGGGGGTAGAAGGAGACGCATTTCCTCTGCTTCCCACTACAAATAAATCATGCTAAATTCAAGAAAGAGCCTGATCGTCAAGTTCTTAGGAGGCAACATACACATCAAACTGTTTTTCTATGGCAATGAATGCGAGTGGAGTTTTCAGCCTAAACTCGCACATTCTGTTCTGTAAACTACTGGGAAGCACTTACTGGCTCCACAGGACGTAAATTACGAATGACATTCCAAACACTTCCTGGAGGCCAGTAGGAGGAATTTCCATCCCAGGCCTTCCCAGAGGCTCCAGCCACTGGGGCTGCCCACTCATCAGCAGAAAGGAGGGCCAGGGGCACCCGAACGGCCCCCCTCCTCTCTCACCGTCTGAGTATCTATAGATCAGTGGGCTGTGAGGTTGGGGCTGGGCTCTCTCCCCGGCTCTCCCACCAAGTTGTGCCTGCCCTTGGGCCTCTCCTCCCCTCTCCTGGGCACCTCCTGAGGACCATGCGATGATCGGGTTCATCTGGGTGACCTAAGATCCTATCCTCTTACCGGCTTTGGCTGCGAGCTCTGGGCCTAGGCGAGTTTGGTCCCCACTTGCTGTAGGCTTTGGCGGAGCCCCTGCCCCTGCCCGCCCCAGGCCCGCTCATCTGTCCCAGGGGAGGGGACCAGGTGGGTGGATCGTGGTACCTGTGGCCTCGGCGCTGGGCGCGGCGTCGGGCACGAGCATGCAGGCGCCCTGGCCGCGGGTGAGGGCGTGCAGGGGCCGCGGCTCCCCAGGCAGCGCGCGGCAGCTGAGCCCGCGGGCGCAGCGCGCAGTGGCCACGCCGCATGCGGCGCCCAGCGGCAGGGCGCACGTCGGGCAGCAGCCGCAGCCGGCGGGCCGGGAGGGTTCCGGGCACGAGGCAGGCACGGGCGGGCAGAGCGCAAGCCTCTCAGCGGAGCAGGGAGCGCAGTGCCACGGCTGAGGAGCGCCGGCGGCTGTGCCGAGCTGGACAGCCAGCAGGAGCAGGAGAGGCCAGGCGCGAGCTGCGGGGACCTCTGGCATCGCCGGGCGGGGTGGCGGACAGCGGCCGATGCTCGCTGAGCGGTGGCGGCGGCAGCGGTGGCGCGGTGGCTGGTGCTCGCTGGGCGGTGGCGCACTGGCCAATGCTCCCTGGTCTGGTGGCGGTAGCCGATGCTCGCCTGGAGGTGGATGCTCGCTGGGCGCCTTGCACGCCTTATGAAAGGCGCGGGCCGCGCCGCCTGAACCCTGAGGTTAATGATTGGCAGCGCTGCGCGCTCGAAGGCAGGTGTTCAAAATGTTTGTTTTGCTCGTATGCCCAAGGCCCTGCGCAAACCGTGGGTGGAAGGAGGGTAAACGGTCCAGGTTTCCCACTGTGTTTGTCCTGTTGTTATGGCTTCCGACCTGGAGCCAAAGTGCAGTTGTAACCAGGAGCGCACAGTCAGGTAGAGGATAACCCTCGCTTGTTTTGTTCAAGGGGCATCCTGATGCCAACCTACCAGCGCTCCTAGGCTGACCCAGGGAAAGCAGAGAAGCCAGCTGGGCAAGGCCAGCCCACCCACCTGTTTTCAAATGGGGAAACCACGGCCCAGGGAGAGGAAGGGAGGACTGGCTTAGCACCCCGGTCTCCGCAAGCGCTGGCCCGGGCTCAGCGGCAAAGCCCAGAACCGCTTCTCCCTCTGCAGGAAGAAGGCCCCCAGCCCCCTAACTGCCTCTTCACAGACTTTCCCAGGAGGGAGGAAGGAGGAAAGCAGACAGTTCCTGCGATGGCTGATGCCAAGCTCCCCAGTCTCACTGCAGCCCCCAGAGACCAACCTTGTTAACTGAGCTTCCAAAGAGGAGAGGGGATCAGAGCCCAGTTAGAGACAGGGCACTGCTGCGGACTCCAGCTTCCTCTCACATTCTGCCTCAGAACACATTTTTATCAGGAGTCAATTACTGAGGCTTTCTCTTTAGTTAAAATTCGTATTTCTTGGATATTCTCTTGAGTCACAAGAAAAATGTCACTGTACCTTGAAAGACAGTGAGAACCGGCCTGTCCAACCCCAGGACCTGCAGGTGCTCTGGCCACACCCCGTCCCTGGAAACTAGGCAGCCGTTAACAAGAACAAGGCAGCTCTAGATTTACTGATGAGGAAACATCTCCAAGATTAGTCAAGTTGTGCAAGTGAAGTAAAATTCCCCAGTGAAGTAAAAATGAGAAAGTACACAATATGCTGGTGTTTGTGTACGAAAAAGTAACTGAATACGTGTCAGTGTAATTCTAAATTTATTGGCTATCTTGAGAAGAAGGCATGAGAAACCAATCTAGTGCTTGCTTGAAGGTGGTGAAATTAGGTGACTGAGCCAGGCTGGTTTTCCCTGTGCACTCTTTTTTATCCTTCTGGATTGACATTATCTAGTAACCATTACATTATTTAGTATTCTCAGATACTTACATTGTCTGTTATATTACTTATCTCAAGAATAACCAAATGAAAGTTCATTTACTAACTCCTTTTCTAGCCACTTCACCGGCTCTGTGGCCTTGGGCCAGTCACTGGCCTTTAGTTCCGGCTGGACTATATCAATAAATAGCCACAGCTTGTGCATCTCCTCAGCTACAGTCAAAATAAGGGCAGTGAAAATAATTGCAGTTGGAAGTTCACAGTCATATCCGTCATTATTTTTACAGAGTAAAGTTGTGTGTCTGGTTAAGGAACTGATCAATGGTTTTGACTTGTTTAACATTGTTTTTGATGTAGGTTCCTAAAAGATTTCATTTCCAAACGAAGAATTTGTGCTCTGAATTTTCTCTCTGATCTCCTCACCTTAGAATTGGCGTGCCCACTTGAAATGCTTTATTAATGACACACGAACAAGAGAATCATCTGGTAAATATTTGGGACCCGCCTACCATGTGCCCGGCAGTTTGCCAGCCCTGGACGGGTCACCCAGTTGTGCACTTGCCCAGGGATGTCCCTCCATCCCTCCCTCTCCGAGGTCCCGCTCACCCTGCACGTAATGGAAGTTCCTCTACGGATCGATTTCCCAAATGTTTCCATTGCTTGCCTCATAGCAGCAGTAAACCAAACAGCCATCAGACCCAAGAGAGCTTTCTCCTTCTCTGACCTCATCAACACAAATGGAGCCGGGACCTTCCTGGAGGCGGGTGTGGGGTGCCTGTCTGTCTGCCCCTCTGTCCTGTGGGGTGAGCAGCCCTCCCCTTGGCAGGCTGAGTCACAGCAAGGTGGCTGCTCTTGAGGTCATTTCTGGGTGCAGCGTGAATCCCAGGCCCCACTGCCCACTGTTGGGCATCCACAGCCGCCCTTGGCCTTCTGTGCCCCCCACCACCACCACGGTCTAACTCTCAGGGCCGGCCCCTACTAGGGTGAAGGAGCACTCTCTGCTGGCACCAAGGTGCAGGGTGGGCCCAAGAGGGAGCCCCTCCTCACCTGTTGTACCCTCAGAGCCTCACCCGCCTCCCCTAATCCTGGCCCTGCAGACTCCCGCTCATTTTCCAGCCTTAACATCCCCTCTCCCCAACTCCAGAAAAAAAATCACTGTCATATCTCCATGACTTTCTTCTTCTTGTTCTCCGTGTATGAATTTCCATTCATCCACATCCCTATCAATCATCTACATCTCTCCATCATCCACTTCACCCTACCCTCCACATCTCTCTACTCCATCATCTCTCTATTATGCACCTTTCTATCGTCCACATCTCTCTATTATGCACATCTCTCTACCCCATCATCTCTCTATCATCCACATCTCTCTACCATCCACATCTTTCTATCATCCACATCGCTATTAATCATCTACGTCTCTCTATCATCCACATCTCTCTACTCCATCATCTCTCCATCCATCTCTTAACCTCACTCTTCTAGGGCTCTATCCTGATCCTCCTTCCGCAGCCACCTCTCCTTTCTTTCAGCCCTACCCCACAGTGTGTGTCATGAACTCCCATCTTGCATCCTGTCCTTTTCCCAGCAGAGGACACGCAGAGTGAGGGGAGCTCTTCCCTTGGTGTGCTGCAGGTACAGAGATAGGTATTGGGAGAGGGCTAACAGTGCCCCAAACCCATCACGATGCACAGTCTAGTGGGAGGCATGCTCTGTTGAGGGCTAATTATAATCTGGTCCTTATGATAAGTACTTTAGTAGGAAGTCCAGAGGGGGGTGGTGCACGGCAGGAGAAAGGGCGCCAAGCCATGCCTGGGCACGTCCCAGAGAAGGTGCCAGCCAAGGCAGGTCTGGGAGGGAAACTGGGACTTCCCCAAGCAGCCGAGGATGGGAGCCGCAGTGGGAGAACAGAAGACAGCAGCGGGGTGAGGCAGAGAACTGGGAAGAGGGTGGTGTGTTCAGGGAATGATCAGCAGTTCTCCCTGCCTGGAAGCTGGAATAACGCAGCAGGCGGAGCAGCGAGGAAAAGGCCCCCCGTGTGGGACGAAGAGGTTTGGGGCTGTTGTTAAGGCAGCGAGCCACCCACCACTGGAGGCGCTTAGGCAGGGCTGAGAGTGCAGTGGTCAGGAGGGAGCACTGGAAGGATCACGGGGCAGCAGGCCTGGAGACCGGAGACCAGTTCTGAGACCCTCCTTCCAGCACCCTTCAGGCCAGTCACTATCCACTGGCCAGACACTGGACGGAGCCGAGGGTCAGCCACACACAAGGTGTAGCCCTGCCTCGAGGATCTAGAGAATGAAAAACAATCAACAAATACTTTCACAAATGCAGTGCGGCTTGTGATGAATGCCATGAGGAAGGATAGGGCAGCAGAGGCAGGGATGCTGACAGACACTGTAGATGCGACAGTCTCTGCGTGCCCAGAACTGTCAGAGGTCGGGGGGAGGACACGAAACAGCTGCAGTGGAGTCAGAGTGAAGGCTGGGGCATCTTCGATGAGGGCCACGGGTCTGCTCAAGGATCCAGGACTTCTGGAGTCACCTGCACAACCATGTGTCTCTGAGTGCTCCCTGGGAAGCAGTGCCACGGTTTCATCAGCGTCTCCAAGGGGCCTGTGACAACCCAAAGGCTCAGGGCCCTTTCCGAGGCTCTGCCATGTCTGCATGACATTGGTCCTGCTCTTTTGGACACCCAGAACTCCCTCTGCCCCTTCTCCATCCCTCAGGACCCACCTGAATGTCCTATCCTCTGAGAAGCCTTTCTGGTGGCTCCCAGGTAGACTGGGGTGCCCCTTCTGTGTTCCTGAAGCATGTCACACGCTGGATTAGAGTCACACTGAAGAGCTACATAAACCAGCGTTTACTCGTGAGTCTCCTGCCAGGCTGAGTGGGCAGGGGCCAGGCTCACAGTTGCCCCTGCCCCAGCACCAAGCATATGACACGGATGGGCGCCCCGGCCCATGAATGAATCTGACCAATGAATGTAGACTCCAAGAGCCAGGAGCGCCTGGACGCAGGGCATGCAGAGCAGGGGATGGTGGGGGAATGGGGAGCCAGGCTTTCCTAAACACATAGTGTGTGTACCCGGTGCCAAGCTGCACTCATTAAAGTTGCCAGAGGACCCTCCCCAGGATCCTGCGAGGTAGAGCTTATCATCACCAGCCGGGGGTGAAGTCAGCTTTGCCCGAATCAAAGCCTGTGGGCATCTGATGTAGGGTAGGCCAAAATTGTCTGAGAGTTCAGGAGCAGTTAGGGGTTTTGGGGGGGCAAGGTTGAAAGGTAATTTGGTGGTACATATGGGAAGTTTTCGGTGCCAGATGTGGAATCTGCATTCCATCAACCAGGCAAGAAAGAGTGTTAAGCTTGTGAAGTCCCAGCACCATGGGAGATGCCCGCCACCTCCTCTCCTTGTAAATTCTCTGCCTTTGCAGTAAAGGAGACCACTGTTCCCATTTCAGAAAAGCCAGGGCAGCAGCACATAATCTAGACAGCCCCTCTGTGCAATCCCAGGGGGTGTGACAAAAATGGCGCCACACACAGCGCCTTTGCCATCTTGCATGACACTTGGTTGCAGGACCTGCAGGTACAAGTGCCTCTTGCTGCATCAGAAGAACTCGGCTCGGAGAGTTTCATCAGCCCCTAAAGGGCAGGTCGTGGAAGCTCGGTCATCCCAACAGCACTGTGGCTCCCCAGCAAGACTGCCTGTGTTGGCACCTTGGATTTCCACATCCTGCCTGGC